CTCCTCCATTTCGGGGGGGGGAGGGGGTTACGTGAGCCCCAGAGAAACTTTTCAGCTAGATTTAGCGGGATTTTTTTTCCCGCTAGTTCTAGTGGGGAAGTTTTTCCGCTAGATTTAGTGGAGAAATGTTTCCGCTAAATTTAGGGGGGAAATTTTTCCGCTAGATTTACCGCGCAAATTGGTCCGCTAAATTTAGCGGGGAAATTTTTCCCCTAGATGTAGCGGGGAGATTTTACCGCTAGATATAGTGGGGAATATATTTCGCTAGATTTAGCAGGGAAATTTTCCCGCTAGATTTAGCGGGGAAATATTTCCGCTAGATTGAGCGGGGAAATTTTTCCACTAGATATAGGGCGAATTTTTCGGCTAGATTTAGCGAGGAAATTTTTCCGCTAGATTTAGCGAGGAAATTGTTCCGCTAGACTTAGCGGGAAATTTTTCCGCTAGATTTAGCGGGGACACTTTTCCGCTAGATTTAGAGGAGACATTTTTCCGCTAGATTTAGCGGGGGAAATTTTCCATGATTCAGCAGGGAAAGTTTTCCGCTAGATCCAGCGGGGAAATTTTTCACTAGATTCAGCGGAGAAATTTTTCCGCTAACTTTAGCGGGCAACTTTTCCGCTAGATTTAGCGTTTAGCGGGCAATTTTTCCGCTAGATTTATCAGGGAAATTGTTCCACTAAATTTAGCGGGGAAATTTTTCCGCTAGATTAAGCGAAGAAACTTTTCCGCTAGATTTAGCGGGGAAATTTTTCCGCTAGATCTAGCGGGGAAATGTTTTCGCTAGATTTAGCAGGGAAATTTTTCTGCTAGACTTAGCTGGGAAGTTTTTCTGCTAGATTTAGCGGCTAAATTTTTCCGTTAGATTTAGCGGGGAAATTTTTCCAGAAGACTTTGTGGGGAAATTTTACCGCTAGATTTTGCGGGAAAATGTTTGCGCTAGATTGAGCGGGGAAATTGTTCTGCTAGGTTCAGCGGAGAAATTTTTTCCGCTAGATTTGGCGGGGAAATTGTTCCGCTAGATTTAGAGGGGAAATTTTTCCGCTAGATTTAGCAGGGAAATTTTTCCGCTAGATTGAGGGGGGGAAATGCTTCCGCTAAATCTAGCGGGGAAATTTACCCATAATGCACCACGCGGTTACGCCGATGGCGACGCCGACGGCGACGGCGATGCCGCTCAAGCCGGAAACGGGCGCCTAAGAGCTGCGCTCTTAGGCGCCCGTTTCGATACCAGGACCTAGCTGGTTCGATACCAATACCCGGCTGACTTTTGAGAACTGCGCTCTAAAAATCAGCCGGGTCCTGGTATCGAACCAGGGACCTCTCCATTTCCAGTAAAGCACTCTACCGACTCAGCTAACCAGGAGTTAGACTTGATTATAATGCAATTTTAATGGAAAGGTGCAAGCGAGCTGAACAATAATGACGACAATAATCATGGAGTAAAGGAACACGAGGGACAAAGGACAATCACAAATCTCCAAACACAGCTAGGTGACTGGTGCACGACCGAGAAAATCCGCCTGGTCCGGGTATCGGACCCGGGACCTCTCCATTTCCAGTGCAGCGCTCTACCAACTGGGCTAATAATGGTTTAGATGTCAGTAGAGCAAAGAGGTTTTATCAGCCGCCACAACGCCAAGGATGAAAGGCTTGCATCGTAAGCCTTTCACCTTTGGAGATTTTTCCTTCGACTGCTGTCCACCGAAGAATTTTTAATTTTAACGACGTCAGACTGTCAAGGTCCATTACGTGCACGCGCGGACAAACGAACTGCTGAAATGTATTTCGTTCGAAGCAGCGGAGATTTGGACTGCTTGAGATCCGCAAACCCTTGGCTGATCCGTCCGCGCCAGCACCCCTTCGTCGACCGTTTTACTCCAGGAATTCGCCCTGAGAAGGGCTTATCCGCGGTCTTTGATACCTTTTCTTTAAACAGCAAAATATGCCACGCACGACAGTATATTATTGTATTTATAGATGCTTTGAGCGCGTTTATCGCGTTTCCACCATAAACTGGTGATTTCAGAAACACTTCAGTGCACCTTTTAAGGCGGGAATGCGCAGATCTAACAAAGCACTGCGTTATTTGTCATGTTTACTTTATCCCCATCCTACACCTGGTAATGCGTTCTTGACGAACTCATTACTTTATAGGTCAAACCGTTACCGCCAAGCCATATAACGGTCGCGAATTGCCGGGGAATGCGAGGAATCCTTTCAGAGACAGACTCAGCAAAAACAAAACTCTAAACAAAAATAAGAAAGCAAAACTAAAATAATAAATATTACCTTCGTGTTGCTCGGCTACCTGGGCTCGAAGCTCGGCTCCCCCTTTATTTTTTATAAATCGTTGTCGGCTTTTTTTTTTTTTTTTAGCACCTTTTTCTTTGTGTAATAACTACGAATATGGTCACAGATTGTGCCACTGGGTAGGTGACGTAAAGACTATGAGAGAAAATGTTCCGGATCTTTCCGGATTGCAAACTTTTCGCATTCTTTTCCAACAGAAAGACATGGAAGCAAGTACGTCTAAGATATATTTTTGGAGAAAATTTACCGACAGCTTCCTGATATCGAAACTTCTGATTGTCACACGAATGATTTAAAAAATTATCGGGACGGTCCGTCTAGAAAGGGAGCATTCTGAAGTAATTAGGGCTACTGCAAAGAAACATTTACCGCGAAATAAAAGAAAACATTTGTAGAAGTAGCTTTTTTTAGTTTTTCATTTTTATAATAACTAATTTTCAAGGTGATTGGACGGGTATTTCTTGAGACCAAGGACTATAAAGTTTATATGGGAGTTGCATAGAGCAGGGAGCTGCGATATCCTTTTAAGCCGGGGTCACGCTGCTTGTACATCATACAAAAGGCAGTCTGCAACCAGATCCTAACGCACGTCGCCCCAAGATCCGTGCTTAGAATGCCGCGTGAAAATAAGTTGAATGAGAAACTTTACACGGGGGCATTCGAACCACGGGTATCCCGGTGACCAATGTCTGTAGAGTCTTTTGTACGATGTATACGCTGTGTGACCAGGGCTTTAAATAACGAGTGTTTCAGTTTGTTCTGAAGATATTAATCAGTCGTTTGGGGGCAGCACAGAAGACTACAATTTTATATTTGTTGCTGCAAAATTTAGCGGGAAACTGAATTGGTGCATACACCACGTGACATCAATAACTCCCGTAAATCTAGCAGGAAAATTGATTGGTGTTCAGGCCCCATGACGTCGAGTTTCCCAGTAAATTTAGCGGCGGAGCTAGACTGGTGTATAGGTCACGTAATGTCAATTTCCCCGGTAAATTCAGCAAGAAATCGGTGAAGCCTGCAGCAGGCCGGGCGGGCGACATGAAAGGCGTCGGACGTTCTGTGCGCATGGTGCAACTATTGCAGGGAAGTCAATGCGGCCAGCCTTGTGTACTTGCTGAGGTCTTCCAAGGGGCTGGATCCGAAGAGGTGCTCCCTGCCTGGAGGGGTCTTTCCACCCGGCCCACCAGACATCCAGGCAGACAACTTGCGCTCGCGCTCTGTGGCTTTGTGCCTGAATCGGACCTGGATGTGCACACCTGATTTTCCATCGGTGTGTTAGGTATGTATGTGTGTCATTTGCCAAGACCTTCAGGCCTCGTAGCCATCGATGCTCTTCACTAGCTTCCTTTTTTCCCCTGACGTTTTAGCATAATAAGTTCGACTTTCTGCTGATACTAGAGGGTGGGTGGCGGTGGTGGTGTTTGACTGACGTAAGGTTTTTCTCACTGGCTTTGGAAAAGTTTTGACGGGCTTGGGTTGTTGCAGTTTTAATGAGAATAAAATCAGGGGAAAGAAAAGGAACAGATGGTGATGGGAAATTTAGGATGATGAAGCGCAGGGTTACATAATAAAATAACACAAAAAGTCGGCAAGAAATAAATCAAAAGTGAGAGTAGGGGCACATCTAGAACACTAGTATCACAAAGTGTTCTCACAATCCCGCAGGAAAATGCACGAGAGAACTATCACTGCTAGTACAAAAAAGTACAAAAAAGGGGCAGTTGTATTGTCTCACAGATCAGAGCCTTGCCAGACGCCCACAGGCGTCCAGGATGAACACAGTCTTTCGGAGGCGTGTGCACGTAGATGGTGGACAGTTTCGGAATAGCATGTCCAAGAGGGTGGATGGAACTTCGAGCCTAGTGAAGCTAAGAGCACAGTTCGTTTTGTGGTGTACTGCGCACATTAAAAAAAAAAAGATATCTGCGTCAGCGTTTTTGATGTTAGTGTGAATGTCACGGGACGTCAATTTTCCAGCCAAATTAGTCCGCGAATCTGAACTGTTTTTTTAAGTCCTGTGACGTAAATTTCATCTCTAAGTATAGCGCGGCGACTGCATGTGTATATCTGTCAGGTGAAGTCAGGTCACGTGGCGTCAAGTTTCGCTCTAAACGAAACAAGGAAATGCAGTGACGGCCGGGTGTATACATTGTTAGGACTAGGGCGTTCCATTAAAACGTAATCCATGCTTAAACCTCCCTCCCTCCTTTTTCCAAACTAAAAGAATAAAAAGGCTTCTATCCATATCTAAGATGCCTCATACGTCACACGTAAAACGGAAATATTTCGTTTTAGGAATGTAAATATGAAAGAACTCTTCATGCGACTATAACCAAATTTACTCATTGTAGCTTTGTACTCCACGGGTACGGTGGGTAGCTTCCCTGCGGGGTGGGATCCCCAGTGGTCTACGTTTGGGTAACTATACCGACTACGAAAACTCCCTAGGGTACTGCTGCCGATATATCAATATTTGACAATACACCAGCATATCCTGTATAAGTTCTCAGAAATATATATATGAGATTAGACGGCAGTAGAGTGTTTAATGTCCGTGAATCGTCACTCAGGCTTGCACGTCGAATGTTGCTTGCAGAATTATCGCGATGGAATAATGAAGTCTTATAGAACAGACGTCATGTTTATTTTACATGGAAGCAGCCATAAACACTTCGCACAGACGTTCACTTCCAGCCCCCGTCAAATCTTGCCTGCTTGGTTAGGTCACCGTGATGCACAACCATTTCAGGGCAGAGTTGGTCTACAGATGAGCAGCCTGCGCAATCAGATATATCATGTGAAACTTAGCACAATTTGACAGATAGTGTCGAGGTAGATTATCTGTTTGTTTGACAACAATGAATGTTGCGAAAAACGGAACACATGCATTGGTGCTAGGCGAAGAGGGAGGGGGGGGACTATGAATTAAAGAAAAAAGAAATAAAAACTTATGTATGCAATAGCATGTGCATTCGCCCATGTTAAGTTCATGCCACACTTAGGTTGAGTGCAAATGTTGCGTCCTCACTCAGTTATCTGGTTTTCAAGCAGGAACTTCTGGGCAAAATATTTCCACACAAGCATTTTTTTTATGGCTACACACTTGTTTTTTTCAATTTAATATGGACTTTGCTTATTTATTTAGATGTTTTTCTGCACACTATATTTGTTGTCTGTAAAAGAATTGTGTCTTCTGATTCTCAAGGGAGCCCATCAGAGCAGATTAGAGGCAGAACAGAAAGGAGGGGGGGGGGGGGGGGGGGGGGGCGAAGCAATTTGTGTCTGCAAATTGTCGAGGAAAGTCCTAAACTTCGTGGCCAGCACTCTATACAGCTGTTCGATCATTTATATTTGTGTTTGCCTCAAAATACAACTTTTGATGCTTCTGTAACGAAACGTTACACGCAACAGTGCGGCTTTCAGAAAACTCCTTTTCAAGTTCTTCCTAGTAGCCTAAGCCGCCTTTATGTTTCACTGTCACACAAAATCAAACCGTGAAATAGAGGAAGCAGACCGAAATGAACAGACCATTCCAGAGATTTGTGGCGCTCTCCCCGCCTTCTCATCAGTACGTGTTGTGGGCGTTACCGAAAAGAAGTAACGGAATTCGTTACTCGTTACTTGCAAATAAAACGAAAGCGTTACCGGCCTACGTTACCTTGAATTAAAAGGAACGCGCTTCCGTCAATATTTAAAACTAAAGCACGTTCATTTTGCGTTACTTTTAAATTATGAAATTACACGTTTTACTCTCTCATGTTACTGGTAGTTATAAGCGCCATATTTAAAAAAAACTGTGTATATCCAGAAACTGAACACGATTATTTTATACTTTTTTTACAGTTCCACCTAGATACTGACAAGAAAGAACGCAATAAAAAATGCAAAAACGCAAACATTAATATGACTTGGCACATAGAAACACAAAAATATTGAAGTGTACTTTTTTAACTCTTGGGAAGAATATGTAACGAGTAGCTTAATTACGTTACACGTTACTTGAAATAAGTATCGTAAGAACGTTACCCTTTACAGTTTTCAAAATGTAACGCTTACGTTACTACGTTACAGAAAAAAGTATAGCGGTGCCGGTAACGCCGTTACTTGTAACGCGTTACCGCCAACACTGCCTCTCAGTGAGTTTTGTCGGTTCGATGTACGGCGCGTGAACCAATAGACTAGAAAGAAAAAAAAGCTGATATTGATTTTACATGATGGTGTTAGTACGAAAATAATGCAGGACAATAATAAAACCAATTACGTATTGAAAACGTTAGGGTGCAAACTAGCTGGTGATGGTCAAACATCAGGGATACTGAACCAAAAAATGTATACCCTTGTTACACGGGCGCACTGAACTGCAGTTAAGCTAAGCCACAGTTAGCGCACAATACTTGCGGACGACATTCTGCGGCTATGCAGTCAAAGCTATGGGCGAACATGCGCTTGAGCATCTTGAGCACCCATCGAAGTAGTGCACGCACGCTCTTCACTTCTTCTTAAACAGCTGTCCGAGAGTATAGTGCGGTAACTGGGGTGCCACGTAATAGCAGTTAAAGCTGAGTTAACCACGGTTAAGGGTGCCCATGTAACAGGGGTATTACTGTCCGAGATAATTGGCGCACGTTCTTTCCACAAGCCAGCTGCAGCTGGTGTGCGCGACCACACGCAACGAAATTGACGTCCTAATCCCCCGCGCGCTAAAGATGATAGTGAAATGTATGGGCTTCGGGCCAAAAGAGAATAAAGACAGGCTTTTCAGCTCCACAAGTGAAAGCTACGTGCTTTTTAGACAAATTAATCGTTTATCCTTTACACCAGACCCCACTGTGGAGATGAAAAGCTTGTCTTTATTCTCATTTTCCCTGAAGCCCAGACATTTCACTGTCATCCTAAGCTTGCATGGGGACTATGACATCAATTTCGTGGAAAGATCGTGCACCACTTATTGGAGACACTCAAATGTCTATGGTTCAGCATTCCTTAAAAAAAAAGCCCCTAAATGACAAAAAAAAACAAAAAAAAACTAATTGCAACACAACAGCACAAAGCCTCAAACGCAGCTGATTTATTTAGGAGAATGTTGAGGTTTATATAATGTAAGTACCCCTACAAAGCAAAACAAAAGACAATAAAAAACAAAGACACTCTTTCCACCGCAGATAAACTCCAAGGAACTTTGGTTCCTGGCGGCTATTTTTACTTCTGCCGAAGTTTCTGGGGATTATCCGCTTAAGGTCCATCTTACACATTTGTGAAACGAACGTTTCTGTTTTTACAGCGAAGCTGTTTATGACTAGGGTTCGGAAGATTTTTCGCGTGCGCGACCCAAACCTCTACCCTCGCACCACCGCACGCACCGCACGCCTTGCCCGTATAAAATATTCAAAGAAAATGACAAAAAGCAAAGTTCCCAAATGCGCGTGCTATAGGCCATTTGTTTTACACTTTTGCTTTAGAACAGTTACTGCTGCCATACCCTCATACATACTGACGAAGCCCGGCAGATCACTACGAGAAGCGGCCACCGAAACGGAAAAGTTAAAGCTGGAGACAACGAATGAGAAGAGAGCCACGTGACTGGCGCCCCGCTGCGGCGAGACACCGAAACACACTTCTACCGAGCGAACAAGTGTGTTTCGGGACCTCGCCGCTGCCAAAGCTGTGCGTTGACGCCGAGGTTGCCGAGAATCGATTTTTTGATGCTTTGTGCTGGCAAAATCCTCGCGCTCCAAATCTACGACCGGGCAATCTGTGGCTTCGTCGTCGAACTGCCAAGCTGTGTGAGTATAGAGGAATCTATGCTGCTGGCAGACGCCGGCACGTGTGGCGCGTGAAGCACCATTCCCTGCGTTCTCCTTGATGCTTGGTTTATTTAGCAATAGTTATATTTCATTTCTTTTTTCTCGTCGTAATGGAGAGGCCGCGTAGATTCCGGACTCCCGAAGAGCAACGCGCCTACGAAGAGCAACGGGAAGAACGGCACCGAGAATGTCAGCGACGGCTGCGGGCGGCAAACATCACCGATGAAAATCGTACACAAAATTCCAAGCGCGTACAGCAAACCAGACAAGACGACGAACGTTAAGGGGCGAAGAACTTATGAAATAAATGTGTGTGCGTATCCTAGCGTCACGATCACCACCGACTAAGACAATGAATGTGTTCGTACCGTAGTTCAAAATCCTGTGTCACGTCTGTGTCGTGTGCTAAACAGCTTCGCTGGTCATCCATCTTCCCACAGTGGAATGCCTCATGATTTGTTTTTGCTTATATTAATGTTCCATGTTTTCGGGGTCTATTTTTTTATGTGTCCGGAAAACAAAAAAAAAAAAGATTTTTTTTTTTATTTGGGGGGGGGGGGGGGGGGGAGGGAGGGTGGAGGGGAAGGGGTAGGGGGTTAATATTGTTTTAGTAATTGGTTTTAGTAATTGGTGTATTCCGGTGTTTATTTTCCGTGCCAGGCTTGAAAAAGGGTTAAATAGCTGCTAATTTCATCAAACAACTGCATAACTATAAATTTGTGACACGGATCCCCCCTCTCCTTCGTTACCTTCGAATCCACTGAACTTACTCCAGTGGCCCAAATACTTGAAATACGTCACTACTGTACCGAGAACAAAACTCAAGAGACGCAATCCCGCCCCAAAAAAAAAAAAAATTAAGAGACGTTTGTACGGGTTGTGTTCAGGCTCAAGAAAAAAAAAAAGTGCCGTATAAAAAAAAATGTTTCTCCCAAAACCCGGGGATTTTTTCTTTCAGGGCCAGCTCCGAATCAGGGTTTTTCGCTTTTCTTGATTTCCAGAAAACCTCTTTGGGTGTTCTTTATCAGGGTTTGTCGGTATTTACCTAAAACGAGGAACCCTAATGAACGGGATATTACCCTTGTTAGCCTTCAGTTTACATCGAGCATTTTAAGTTCTGCCAATTTTTTCCTGCGTAATAAAAGAGTATCAAGAAAGTGCTTACCCATCAGTGCCAGCGCTCGGTCCACCTCCTCTCTTAGTATAGCGAGCATCTTCCTCACACCGGCTTCGCCCTGAAAACATAAGTGCCTTGCAATTACTCTTCACTTCTGAAACAGAAAAAAGTTAATTGCAAGCCTGGCAGACAAACGGCTCCCAGCGTGTGCAGCCTGCACCTAACAGTAGCTTTGCAATTTTTAATAGTGCACAAGCTTGTCTACACGAACAGAAAGATGACGGATGCAAGATGCTCTGTTTGCAGCCGTGCATTTTACTTCCTGGGTAGCTAAACTCGTGGAGCAAAACATTCTTCGCTTTTTGACGTAGCGGGGGGGAGTGACCAAAAGAACGCCGGAAAGTTTCCTCCTCCCTGCGCGCGCTCAAATTCGCAACTTTTGACGAAAAATCCCCCGCGATCCCTAGGCGATGCACGAGAGCACGAGACAGCGTGGGGAGGCGAGCGTTCACGCCGCTCGCTGTACGTCGTCTTTGGGCTCTCTAGCGCCGACAATCCCGTCATGCCTCGCCCAGGCGAGGAGCGAGAGCAGACGACGAGAGTTTGTCTGCTACGATGAGGCATTCGCACAGCGGGACTGAAAGAAAAAGTTGGTTTTCTGCTCGAAATCGCGTCCCGCGGGCCACAAACTCAAACGCGAGCTTGAATTGTAAGCGTCTGATATTTTACGAAGGGAGGAATCAACGGCCCGTCTTTTATTCGCGAAATTTGAGTCGTTTTGTAGCCGTACAGACGCTGAAACCTACCAGCGTGCAATGAAAGCCCCAGAACAACCACAGGGGCCGCGAGATCTAGCATCATTTGTGTATGGATGAAAAGTGCAACATTTTTCGACAAAGCTCCCACAGCAGAAACTTGTGACGCATTCACTCAGCGTCCAGGAAGGCTAAACATGGAGACGTTGCCCGAGACTCAAGCAAAGTCATATATGAATGGCAGCTATCTCGCCCCGTCATATTTTGTTTTGAGAAAGCTCTCGTTCTCAATGCCAGGGAAATAAAAAGCCTTACGAAACGTATTGCTAGCTGTTCCAAAGAACTAGATTTAAGCCGTATTCTTTCAGTTATTCACTCATATTATTATGCTTAAAACGAAGCAAGCTCTTGCGCGTACAGTGCCATCAATTTCCTCAAGCGTATGCTGTTTTGTAGTCAACTGGTTTCGGAAACTTACGCCGTCTGTAGATATCTCTGACTGCCGAGTTGCTTAAGTGGAAGTCATCGCAAATGTAAGTTCCACGTTGCAGCAACCAACGTTTAAACGATGGCAGCGACTGCACTCTCGCATTCCCACCCATCACGTCAAACAAAAAGGCGCTAGTTTCGGTTTGAAGTCGGTACTTTTCTACAACATCTATGGCAACAGCATCAGTCTGCACTGGGTGCATTTGGCAAGTTCGTTCGGGGCCTGTTCTCCGTGCAGCACTCGGTGGGTGTAATGCATTAGAACTCTCACAGTGCAAGTCTGTATCGCGAATTGGGAGCCCGTCACTGGCCTCACCGGCGGCCATCGCTTGACGACAGGCAATATGCCGCGTCCTGTCTAGTTCTCCCTTCATTTTCGTCCTTGTTGCTTTGGCCTTTTACATCATGAGGCAATTCACGCAAGTCTAAGGAAGAAACATGCAAAAATTGGAAGCTTGTACGCGGTGCTCGAGGGCGAGCATTTTATGATGTGCTGCGATGATTATGTCGGGTTCATGGAGATCAAATAGACAGTCGTCAAGCGTTTGAACATCGATTAAAAAATATTGGCCGGAGCACGATTGACTTTACCGACGTCGCTTGCTTCGGTTGCTAAATAAATGGCACGTCGAGCGACTGAACGGCACGCTCCGAGTTTCAGTTTGTCACGGAAGCCCTCACAGGAGTTCAAAGAAAAAGCTTTCACCATGAAGCACTATGTACAAGCGGTCAAACCGATGCGAAAATCCCTAGTAAAGGCATTCTAACTTATCGTTAGCTGAGCTTTGATGAATCCGAAATCACGGATGACTCCACAATAACTTTCGGTAGCCCTTGTCTCATTAAACACATAACAGTTAACGCCCAACAAAGTCGCCCTGGACCCTCAACCACACAACATTTAGTTAAACAAGATTGGTATTCTAACGCGTTTAATATTCTTCCCCACAATATTAACTGTTATTTGCGGAAACATGATAGAAGTTTAATGGTAGAGAACAATTTACTAACGTAATAAAATTTAGTTGTGTCAAGCGATGACTGCCGGTGGTGCCGCTCGACCCCAGCAATACAGGCCTCCATCCACGATCTAGCCTCCTAAGAAATCAGTGGTGCCAGTGCTATTAGACATAAATCGTTTATTTGCATCGGTGCTCCCATACCTGCCGGATGTAGGGATGAGGCGCAAAACCGTACATCCGGCCAATATTGAAGCCGGTTTTCGGACGATATTAGGGAGTTTTCGTAGATCGTTTTCGCCGTCCCGCAAGGGCCCTCCCCAACCCGCTACGATAGCGGGAACTCCACAGTCAAGGCTATCGGCGCGCAGGCGCAGTAGCAACTTCTTCGTTGCGGAACGCTTAGCGGAGGGGGCAGTCCGATCTACGAAAATTCCCTATTGCCTCGACACTCGCCAAGAAGCAACGTGCTGTTTCGGCGACTCGTTTGTGTAATTTATTTGTTCAGTCATATTAATGGGTCCCGGGCCACTGTGCACACCCCAAAAAAGAAATGTACTGTGGTAATTACACCTTGAGGAAAAGCAGGCACGTAGCCAGATTTTCGTTTAAGGGGGGGGGGGGGGGGGCGCCGATGACAAAGTGCTTTATGAGGGGGAGGGAGGAGAGGGGGCCTCAGCAAAATGGAAAATTTCGGGGGGGGGGGGGGGGAAGGCCAGGCCTTATGCCCCCCCCCCCCTCCCCTTGGCTACGTGCCTGACGAGAAGGGGTATTGTAGTTTCACATCTTTATGAAAAGGTGTAGGCATTATCATGCGTTTTAAGAAACGTGTTTAAAAAATCACACATTTTTAAAGGTGTAAAGTTTACATTTTTTTATAAGGTCCATCGCTACACTTATTAGGGTGTTAGTTATGGGACACCCCATTTACATGTTTAAAGGTGGGATAATGCTTAATGTGTATATACCTCTAACGGAAGACAATCTCTTTCATGTGATTACATCGCGTGCCGATGAAACGATCTGTCGATGACACGTCGTTCGATGAACTGATTTGACCGCCAATGAGTGACGACTGCCAGTAGAATTTCGGGGAAATAATTCTGCCGGCTGCCAGGAGACTCGACCCTACCCAAGAATTACCCCGGTTCTTGTTTGTTTTCCAACATCCTGAATTGTATACCAGCTTATTAGTACCTCTTCGGAAATTACAGAAAAAAAAAATAAAAAAAAAGCGATGGCAGCCGAAAAAACTCTGACAGCCCGGTTCACAGTCATGTGGGAGACTGACAGGTGCTCGTCAGTCGCCACCATGCCTTGAAAGCTACCGGTTCCGAAGAACCGGACCGCGCAGAGAACTTGTTGTTCCACGGTCCGAGGCGGCGAACGAAGCTCGTCGCAGAGTCAACGAACAACGGCTTTCGATAGCCGGTACTGTCGCCGAAAGTCGTCGTCGGGGAGTTGAAAGGCGTCCCCGGTGGCCTCAGTAGCGACGCCGACGGTGGCGGAAGATAAGCTCGGCCGCAGCGTATGGCACCGCCATGTTGACAAAGTTTAACTTCGCCTCGATCCGAAGCGAAGATCTCGAGCTCAAACCACGGCTCTCGCAAAGTTCGGAAACGTCACTTTGACGTCAGCGACAACTTCGACAAACGAGGTTTCTTTTTAACACAAACTTCGGAGGGATTTCGAGCGTCAGCAGGTCGCCTAGGGACAATCTGCAAAGCATTAATTTTAGCTTAGCGTAGGGATGTAGGGACAAAGGGGCGCTACGTCATCGGCGAAGCCGTTCAATCAGCGGGCTCCTCGCGCCCCTCACGCGCCGCACGCGCGCCTCGATGAACTTTGCTTCGAATGATTGACACCTCGCTCGGCGCGACGTCAGCGTCGCGAGAGTCCAATTAGCGCGTTCCGCAACTTTCGGACACAAAGTTGTGCTTGACGAGTTTAGCGACCCTGAACGATTTCCCAATCTGTCCAATGTGTGCAGGAAAGTGTAACTTCAAGGTAAAGGTCATGGTAGAGAGCTTTAGTAGATCGTTTCGATGTCTTGGAGAACGACACCCGGCACTCAACTGACGGCTTGGGGCATTAATGGAATTGCTATCGTCTGTGGTCATCGGATGTAGCAAAGTATTTCATTGAACTTTCCCATACATGGCTTGCCCATGATGTCATTCCCGGCGATGCCGCTATTTTATATGAGACGAAGGCTCGGTTCACTGTGCCAGTCCCACACCGCAGATGTAGTATCCCGAGGGAACCAGTGAGTAGAAATAACCGCGAGTGCCCAAGAATGCCGACACCTGCAAGCTATGTATTAGCATGCTTGCTATCATACGTGAATGTCCGCACAAGAAGAGATAAGGCCGCGACAAGACGCCCTATACTCTGTTTCATACGCAGTATACAACTCCGTGAATGGTAAAGCGTGGGGCAGTGTTTTGATTTAGCGTTTCATATTCCTAGTCACGCGCCAATGAGGCAAGAGATTAAACCGTCCGCTCACGCCCGACGTCCCAACAGCAGTATATGTTAAGTAGAGGACGATGTTTGGGCCGCATACATGTACAAAATGTAAAAAAAAAACAAAAAAAGAAACAACACAATTTTTGAACCTTGAAAAAAAAAAAATTAGGCATCGCCAAACTCTCATCCTCCTCCCAACCAGATGCTTAAGTTCCAGCCCGATTCGATATCTTATACAAAAGTTATGTGATTTTCTGAAAATTTCATTGAGGAAATGGCAGCCGACGAAGTTTTCGAATGCATGAGGCTGTATGGCATCAGAAACCTGAAACGGGCAAAAATACGCTCCATTTCCCCATTGAAATTTTCAGAAAATAACTTATAACTTTTAAGTAAGGTATCGGATCAGGTTGAAACTTCGACATCTGGTTGTGACCTCTGGCGCTACCATTTTGGGCGGAGAATAAGCATTCGGCGATGCCTAGTTTATTTTTGCGATAAAACAAGGCCTGTAAATGTTTTTGTGGCACCCTGTATACAGAGATAAGTGTTTCAAACACATTTAATAACTAATTGATTGGCGGGTGCCAGAAGGCTAAAAGGTTTCAGGACACTCGTGTTAACGAATGATACCTTAATGAAGTACTAAGTAAGAATTAAATTGAACCCACGACTCCCAAGCTAACGAGGACTCCTTCATCTTTTCTCCTGTTGGCTTTACGTCAAAGATATTGCCAATACACTCGTCAATCAATCAACCAATCAGTCATTCTCTAATGAAGGGCGAAACAGCACATACAGGCTGCAATTTATATTCCGGCGGCGGCCACGAGTCGCGAGCCACTACTATAAACTCTCTGCCTGTTAGCGACGTGCGCTACCAAAAGCGTCGTTGTGGTCGAAATTTGCGATTGGCCAAAGCACTTGCTTCTTGTATTATTATTATATAATGCATTCCCGATCGCCGGTTCACAGCAAGGCAAATCCTGCAAATCATGGCAAGAGAAATCCTGGTCGTGACGCAGGGAAAGAAAACCATAAGAGGGCGCCAGTGAAACATCTCGGCGCTAAAAACTTGATTGTTTTTGATATGTCCTCGTGATGCGATTACATTTTAAAAACCAGCCTCTCGCAAAACATAGCCCTTTTTTCCACTCTAGCATATGAGTGTGTCTTAGATCAGCGCACATTTAATAATCATGTGTTACACTCCTATTGAAAGCAGAAAGCTGTACTCCGTTTCACTTTCTCGTGATTGAGATGTCTTCCGACGCTTGTCGTTAGACTCAAGACCGAACACGCCTCAAGTCCAAACGCACCCAACGCTACGAGCATATGGGACCGATCACGAAGAGTCAAATGAATACCATCATGGTGCTCGTTTTGTTTCTGCGCATATTCTATCCTCACTGAACCAATCATAAACCGAAAAGCCTAGTGATTGCGCTTTTGGCATTGCTTGATCGGTTTCATCACCTCGTGGCATAGACTATGGCTAGACGTAAGCTGAAACGGAGTGTAATGATCTGTGACATTTAGCAGAAAACCACGACTTTCAGAAGTAAACACCATCTGGTTCCTTCGACCCCATTTCGCGGAATTGTAGTATATACATTTAACTCCATAGATTAAGAAATTGTTTATAAAGTGTCACACCGGAGTTTATTTGCAAACACTAGTCAACATGTGAGGGGCGGTCTTACGTTGTATGCAAGAGCCCAGAGCGCCGGACGTCCAACAAACACGGCCTTGGCTCCGAGTGCGAGCGCCTTGATCACATCGGTGCCGTGACGGACCCCGCCGTCCACGTAGATCTGGATGCGACCACCGACTGCCCTTACAATCTCGGGGAGGATTTCTATCTGCAGAAAGACCGCAACGAAAAAAAGAGTTTGCTTAAATCTTCATGAAAAAAAAGAGGTACTTGCGTATTGATGTAAATAATGCTGACGACTGGGATCGTTGTTAGTACGTTCTTAAAAGTGCGAACTATACGCATCAACATGGAGAGTAAAACAATACTGAGAGAAAAGAGCGCTGACGCACAACTACACTCTATTGATGCTGACATCAAATATATACATTACCTGTGCAACAACCCCCGAAGTCAGAAATCACAAAACGTGTTTTATTTCCCTGGATTGCATGGTTGTGGCATATGTAGTACTTATTCATGATGGCAGCACCAATAAAGTTTAATTTTAACTCAGCTCTGCTGCCTATCAGTATTTTACTCCCTCCCTGTCTCTGCGCTATTCGTGCATTTAAGAAATAAATATTCATTACATGCTGATGTAAAAGTACAACTGAAAGCCCATTTGGTGCCTTACTTGCTCAAGTGGCATACAGCATGCCCGAGCGGAGAACCGAGGATTAATCTAGACCCCTTGGGCATTGTTTGACCCGCAACAAAAGGTTGGGTTACGCTTTGCGTTCTGTAGAAGGAGCCTCAATCACAAGTTACGCTCAATATTTTTTTTATGTACTGTGGTTGCAGAATATTTTTATTTGTTTCCGGCTTACCAGGATTCATCATCAGCGAAATGGCGACGAGGGTAAAATCTGCATAAAGTCCTGGACGGAAAACGACCGTAGAGTAATACAGCTCCGAATTCTAAACGTATCGAAACTTAAATATAGATGTTAGAAGCATCGCAAATTATGTGTATCGCAATAGCATTTCTAAAATAAGTATTATATCTGTATTTTGGTGTTACAATCTTAAACTTTATTTTGTATTTCTGTATTGAAATATAATTTCTGGTGTGATCCCGGTATCACGATACTGTCCTGGGCAAGAGTATCTCCTTGCAATTTTTAAATACCCATTTTTCTCCAAACACAAATCGTCGTTTGAAAAGTGATTTATTTATTTATCTATTTATTTATTTTTTTGCTGGTGAGGAGTGGAGCATGCTCAGCACGGAACGCTGACGCTTTCAAACTAAGGTTCGTTCCGGATGTTTCGGGGTCTGATTTAAATTTCCCCCTTTTCTAGTCTGCATCTTCGAAGTTAGCAAATGTTCTCCAGGACTTCAGATGGCCGAATATTATCGATGTAAAAAGCAAACCACTATATTTCTTGCTTTCTTCCAGCCACAACAACCTGTTGTTGGAGGTCCTATAATATCGTCCTATTATAATTATGAGCACGAGCAGCGAATGGATCGGAGAGAGGATTTGCTGAAGAGATAGCTTACTGTTGCTGGGACCCCATCCAGTTGCCGACCCCCATGGTTCGAGACAATTATCGCTGAAACCCCTCGCTTAACGGCTTCCTCAGCATCTTCGGCTGCGAAAGATGGAAAACGATGTTGAAACATGATTCATTTATGTAAATCATGTTAAGTTTTATATCATATATCCCTGAAAATCAGAAAATATATGATTATTCTTCTTTTGCTGAAAAAAATTTTGGTTTATACACTTTTAGCTATGTCGTACCACCTACCTATAACGCTCTTTTTCTCGACAGCAAATCAGTTTGTAGTAATTTTTGCATGACCTGAACTTGAGAGCAAAAAGCGCGGACTCGTTTACTGATTCCCAACGAACCTATGGTATAGGTACCAACATGCATTATGTTTTCAAAGACATGAGCTTACAAGTTACCCCTTAGAAATCATTCAATAGGATATCGAGCGGAGTTATTTAATAGCAGCCTATGCTAAGCTGGTGTTGGTAAGGCTACGAATGAGAGCAGTACTCGAGACATAGTTAAAGTTCGGCGATTATTGTCGCCACCTTCATGGGTCACGAACGCAAACCAGAATTTCCGTATACGTACTCAGCGCAATCGAGCGCGATTGACCAAGGACGTCCGCTCCTGCCAGCTCTATAAGCTGCATATGACCGACGTGTCGTCGGCCTGACAGCCTTATCTTTTGGTACTCCGCACGCCAAGCATTTAAATCTGCAAGCTTTTCGGTGACAAAAAAAAAAAAAAAGTGGCTGCCACTTTTTTTTTTTTTAATTTATCGTATGAAAACAGAATTATTATCTTTAGAGTTTAATATGGTTGCGTCGTGTCGCACAATAGGTCGTTAGAAGAATTTGATAACAACATAGTTATCTGGCTCCTTGAATTGTTTTGTTCAATTCCAGCCCTCGCATCGTTTAAGGCTCTTTTCGCTCTTGATTTCATGTTCAGACTACGCAATCTAGGAACATAACTCTATTTTTGCAGCGCAGCTGCTAAGGGCTAGTTTGCCTAGTTTCGTGTCCGGTACTAAACAAATGTCGACACAAAACTTCACAAAACTCTGGACAGCTATACTTCGTTTCAGCTTCCGTCCGAGCGCAGCCAAAGGCTAAGGGACGGTTCGCAACATCGAGAAGAGCATTCCTACGTACCACAAAATACTCCCAAAAGTAATTTTTTTTTTAAATAACTGTTCTGTGCGTAAACATTGCACAATATTCCAGATGTGTAGTGCTGACAATGATTTGCAACTAAAGGAGTTAAAGATCTGAAGTGTACGTTTTTCTTAATATATGTAAATGCATGAGGTTTGGTGAAATCACGTACATCCGCTGGCAACATGGCTGCAGCGCTCGGTTTTTCTGTGTGATTTCGTTCCCGTAATGACCGAATCATGTGCTTCACTGCTTTCCTCACCAAGTCGCTTCAAAACGTCCTTTCGCAAAGGCATATTTGGGCGTCAGGCGCGAGAGGTGGTGATGAATGTCTACTTTCAAATTCGGCAGGAGACTCCGGCCGCGTCGTACCGCGAATGCGCTGTATACAAGAAAAGCGTCCGGGCCATTACAATTCACAGATACGCGCCGAAATCAGGCACCCCTTTACCTGACGATCAGATTGAACGCCGAGAAGCTGGTGGAAAGGACTGCGCCTCGAGTCCTGGTATATGTAGACAATACAAGGAAACATCAACGGCCGGGACATCGGGCACCTTGCAGTGTGTACTTACATCTCGAAACTATGCAGAAATACCGAACAGGTGGAAAGCTCGAACACAGACGCCAGCGGCCAGCCTACGTACTTCCATTCCTGTGACTAAATTTCAGAACGTGAAAGGGCGCTTTTTAGACCTGTAGCAGACGATACCGTTGACACACCCGTAGCAGACGAAATTCTCGGCGAGCGCGGGCGGCGCGGACGACCAGCGGCGCAGCGGAGTGATACAAAAGTGCAGGCGAGATCGCGTGACCTATTGCCGGCGTGTGATTGGCTCCGGCCACACGTAGCTTTGGCTGCGCTCGGACGGAAGCTGAAACGAAGTATACCACCATCTATGAGCGACGGCGGCAACCCAATAATCAGAGTGACGGCGGCAGCCAGACAACCAATCTGCTTGCCGCCGTCGCTATTAGATGGCGGAAACCTTTCCAGCTTTTCCGTCATGATGCGCGATGGTCCGGCAGTTGCCGTCGTGTACATCCCCGCCGCGACGCACAAGAGACATTGAAGCATTCATGATGGACATCTTCGGCTGGGTCATGACTGGCGGCGACACGGCTGCCGTAGTGACGGTTAACGTTGACACTGCAAGCCAGGAGGGACAGTGGTTCACTTCGCTTATGCTCGAGCGCTTCGGGCTTGCGTGTGTGAACGAACCTACGGTGCTCACGACGAGGCATCGGACGCGTATAGACCTCGTCTTCACGAATAACGTGCCTGCCGTCAGCGTACACCCTATGGCGGTGCCAAAGCGATCACAAGGCCGTGGTCACTGTGGTTACGAAATAAATAACAACCCCGGATACATATGTCGGATTCTTTAATCGTTCAAATAACCAACTACCCAATCAGTCCTTAATCCTTACATTTATAAATACTTTATTCCCACCATAGTACAGCTTCGCTGGTCTGCCATCTTCCCCAAAGTGGAAAGGCTGACAGTTTCCTTTTTTTCAGATTAATGCACGACTTGCAGACTGCACCTATATGTACGCAACAAAACGTCATGCACGGAGAGGACCATGAGGATATAAATTCAGTAAAAAGATAGTATTTAAGAAAAAGCAGACAAATCGTGAAACTTAACAAAAATTCAATTAACGACATTCATGTATTCAATTCGCTTATGCGGTAAAAGCAGTAAAATTAACAAGCTTCGAAATTCTTTAACACCACAATTACTTTGACGGTCACGAGATGCAAAACCAATAAAATGGTTTTGCATAACATGGATTCTAAATATCATGCAAAACATAAATTCGAAACTAATAAAATGAATTTGCATTCATGCAAAATTATTTGTTAAAAATCCTATAAAATCTTGAGAACCACACATCAGCATCTTGGGGCCTTTATTATTTAACATATGAATCAATGATATCGTGAACATATCAGTCCAGGTAAAGTTAATAATTTACGCGGATGATACCAGCCTCTTATTTTTTCGGCTGGTAACTTCAATGAGGTTGTGAGCATAGCTAATGACACAATGATAAATTGAGAATCTTGGGCTAGTTCAAATAACCTAGAATTGATTAAGAAGTAAACGAATATACTATTAGCCTAAGAAATAAGAATCTTGACCTTGCATGCGATAATATTTTGGACTCCTCCCCTGCCGAATAAGTATGCTCCTTTAAGACGTTCGGAGTGTTATCTTTGAAACATACGTCGTGGACCGAGCACGTGGACTATATTATTTCTAAATTGGCTTATTTGGTCGGTACGTTGTTAGACATTGTTATATTCTTCTATCGAGAGCAAAACTGCTGGTATATAACTAATTATTTTTATATCTCGTTTCAACTTCTGTCGTTTGGTTTGAGGCACAACAAATACAACTAATCTGCAAAACATTTTCATTGCAGAAGACTATTAAGAATCATTAGTAACGTGTCCTATGACTTTAATGCGGACCAACGTTATGAGTATACATTTATATTAAGTGCGGATCATTATTATGACTTTGCATTCATCATGAAGTACGAATAAGCACACCTTGTAAGTAGTTGTTTCTTGTCGTTTGCATCATTAAAAAAAAATGTCACATTTTCCACCCGTCACCCGGACGCTGGTTAGTGGACCCGACCATGCACATACAATGGTTTTCAAATGATTCAACGAACCTTGCCTACTTCATCAAGCACATTTGTACATCGACCATTCATATAGAATTTTACTACATACATAAGCTTCGCGACAATTTTCTTTCGGCCTAAGCAACTGCCATTGTTATTTATTTCAACAGAAATGTTGTATTTGTTATATATATATATATATATATATATATATTTTTTTTTTTTTTTTTTTTTTTTTTTTGTGTGGGGGGTGGAAAGTTTTGTGTGATATCATTTATAATGTTCAATTCCGAGATTATTATATAGTTATACGTTTTCAATATGAACCACTGTCAATGTAGTGAGTAGCTTTTGTTTTCAACAAGGGATGTATTTTGTTATTTGTGTGACTGTGTGTCGACGAGGTGGCAATTACTTGTATATTATTTTTTATGCGAAAGCACTAACTGGTCCCATTGAGCGCAGCCCGCGCTGTCTGTACCCGCGAAAAACGGCATCTAAATTCCGGCTAAGCGAAACGGCACCTCGATTCTGATTGAGAAAAACGAGCAATAAATTCCCATTGGGTGCGACGCGTCATCGTGGCAAGGAACGCCATCCCACAGAGAAGTCCTCTTTCTAACGATGCGGCCCGCGTGCCGGTAAAAGGGAGAGGGTGGGGGGCACGCGGCCGCCGCTCTCGTGTAAGGCGTGGCCGAAGGAGGACCGGGGGGGGGGGGGGGGGGAGGGGGCGGCAATTCCCGCTTCCTTTTCTTGAGCACTACTGTATCACGCGTTCTACGCTCTGTTTTCAGACATGTCGCCCACTGTTTACATTTGGCATCAGGCAGTATCACCAGAATGTAGTGATAACAAGGAGCTACAAAGACAACTAAATTCAATGCAGAAGAAACTGAGACTGCAGCAACGACAGTGGCGTCAGTTGCACCGTGAAAAGAGCAATTATAAATTTGGACCTCAGCGCTTTCTCGCTGCAGATCAAGTTAAGTGTTTTTAACTGTCCACTATGAATGGGGACTACATGGAGCAAAGGCACCTTTAAGAAAGCCTTTTTTTTAATTCATCTTTCTTGTGGCTCTCGTGGTGTCAATATGGTACTGGGGAATTGGGGCAGCTTCTGGAGGTGCCACTTTAGTGGCATCTCTAGAACTTCAAGTTTCTGTCAGACATATTGCACAAGCGGATTGATTCATTGGCATGCACGCCGAGTCAAACTTGTAGCATATAACACACTCCTGCATCTTTATCTGAAGTATGCATCAGAAGTCGAATCCCAGCAGGTCTGGCTCATCA